TTGAAAAAATGCAAGATCAGTGGGAGAAGTACCGACCTAGCTTAGAAGACCTTATCGATGAAGAGCCAAAACTTATCCCCAACCATTGGAATGATGACTCTGACTCAGGAGAAAGCAACCCTCGGCACGATTCAACATCTGACAATGAGTGAACCCTTGTTAGGTTCAAACCCTTGGCAAATGGGTTCTAAAAACTTATTGTTTCATGCTTTCTTGTAATTTGAAAAGGCAGGAAAATACTTCTTCAGATATTTAGCATTAATGCAGTCGTGTACCCTTTTACCTTCTTGATTTACAATAATATAGGCACCATTTCCAATTTCCTTTTGAATTATGAATGGCCCCTCCCAGTTTGGGGACCACTTTCCTAATTGATCAACCTTCTTGTAAGTTGGCAGAACAGTCTTCCAGACCAAGTCTCCTTCTTTGAATGTTCTGTAAAAAATCTTCTTTCCATAAGTCTTGGCCCTGATATCATTTTACTTCACAATCTGATCAATTGCATGAAGCCCGGTTGACATCTAGACTTTCCAACTATTGCAACTTTATTTGTTGATACTCTTCAGTAAATTCATCATCAACAAAATTTGTGCGTCCAGATGAAACCTGCACTTCGGCTGGTAACACAACATCTTGTCCAAAAGTGAGTTGATATGGTGAAAACCCTGTGGTACAACTTCTGTTATTCCTTTGTGCTCATAGAGCTCGAGGTAACAACAAATGACATTTCCTTGGGTTCCCTTCAATTGTTTTCTTGATGATCCCAATAATAATCTTGTTAGCTGCTTCCGCCTGCCCATTAGCTTGAGGATAATAAGGCGAGGAATGATTCAACTTAATGCCAAATTCTGCCAAGAAACTTAAAAACTTATCCCTAGTAAAGACCAGACATTGGTCGGTTGTTACTGAATGAGGTATACCATATCTGTATATGATCTGATTTAGCACAAAATCAATAACCTCCTTCTGATCCACACTTTTCAAAGCAACCACCTCCACCCATTTGGTAAAATAATCTGTTGCAACCAAGATAAAACAATGATTCTTGGATGAGGGAGGATGGATTTTCCAAATGATATCCATAGCCCAAGATTTAAAGGGCCATGGTTTTACCATAGCTTGTAACTCTATGACTGGCGAATGAATTAATTGTCCATGCCTCTGACATTCTTGACAACCCTTGGCAAATTGTATGCAATCTTAAAAAATCTTTGGCAAAAAGAAACCTAGCCTATGTATGGCCCATCTCATGTTCAGACCTGCTCGATGAGCCCCAGACATTCCACTGTGTACTTCTGTCATTACCTCCAAAGCCTGCTCGGGACCCAAACATTTCAAAAGCAATCCTTCGAATGTCCTTTTATATAACACTCATTCTACCAATTGGAATCGCAAAGCTTTCAATCGAATTCCAATTGGTACATTTGCTCCTGGATCTTGCAAATACATGATAAATTCTTTTCTCCAGTCGGTTCCTGTTTCTGCCTCAGGGCTGTCCTCTGCACATATGTGTTTTAGAATCCCCTTGCAAGCTTTTTGAGCTAAATCATCCGCAAACTGATTTTCCTCTCTAGGGACGAACTCGATTATCACTTCGGAGATCTTTGATAGTAACCGACCTACCAAATCTCTATACCTCCGAAGGTGGGGATAATTGCAAACATACTTTTTGTTTACCTGGTTAATCACCAATTGAGAGTCCCCTTTTATAATAACCGATTGAACTTTTCTGGCTATCAATGCTTCTAATCCCAAGATCAAAGCTTCATATTCTGCTGAATTATGGGTCATATCTTCCAATTGAAGCTGCAAATTGACCCTTTGGCCGTCTGGTCCTTCCAACAGGACGCCTGCACCAGATTTGTTTCCTGAGGTAGTACCATCAAAAAACATTAACCAATTTCGGGTGCTTACATAAGATATAAACCCGGTCGGTTGTTCTTCACAACCTGTGAAGTCTGCCAAGAAATCTGCCACTGCTTGGCCTTTAACCGCCCTTAAGGGAGAATGATACAAATCGAAAGGAGCTAATTTAATGGCCCACTTCATGAGTATGCCTTGCATCGTAGGCCTTTGCAAAATTAACTTAATGGGATCAATCTTTGAAATAACGTCAACTCTTCTAGGCAACATATAATGTTCAAGCTTGGTGCATGCAAACACCAATGAATCACACATTTTCTCTGACATTGTATAATTCAATTCTGGTCCTGTAAGAGTCTTGCTCAAATAATAAGTTGCCATTTCCTTTCAATCATCTCCATCTTGAGCTAATAAGCAACTGACCACTTCATGAGTATTGGCCAAATAAAGTTTGAGGGGCCAACTTTCCTTGGGAGACATCAACGTAGGTGGTTGAGTTAATGCTTGCTTTATAGCCTCCAGCACCATCTGTTGGTCTGGTCCCCACTCAAAAGAGCTTCCTCCTGCCTTCAATAATTTAGTGATTGGCCTGACCTTGTCAGCCGCATTGGAAATGAACCGCCTGAGATAATTCACCTTCCCCAATAGACTTTGAATCTCTTTAACTGTCTGAGGTGGCCGGCTGGTAAGAATTGCCTTGGCTTTGTTAGCATCGATCTCAATACCCCTCTCATGAACCAGGAACCCCAAAAAACTCCCAGCTGTTATACCGAAAGCACACTTAGTTGGGTTCATTTTCAATTTATACTTCTTCATCCGATTGAAAGCATCCTTAAGATCCTTCAAATGGTCCTCAAAACTAGAAGACTTGACAATAACATCATCAATATAGACTTCCATAGACTTACCAATGAGGCCATGAAAAATCGCATTCATGGCCCTCTGATAAGTCGCCCCAGCATTCTTCAACCCAAAAGGCATAACTGTCCACTCGCAAATGCCTAATGCTCCTGGACACCTAAATGCTGTCTTATGAATATCTTCCTCTGCCAGAAAGATTTGGTTATATCCTGCATAACCATCCATCAAACTAAGAATTCTGTGCCCTGCTGCTGAGTCAATTAGCATGTCGGCCATAGGCATCACATACTCGTCTTTAGGGGTGGCAATGTTAAGATCTCTGAAATCAATACATATCCTGATCTTACCATTTTTCTTAACCACTGGTACAATATTGGCCAACTAGTCTGCATAACGGCAAGTCAGGACTCATACGTCTTGGAAATTGCTTACAGGGCTTGAAATCCTTCTTAATGGGCAGTCGATGTTCTATCAAACTTCGCTCCAGACCAGGCATTTCTAAATAGTCCCAAGCTAAACATTCAATATTGTTTCTTATAACTTCGAGCATCAATGTTTGTTGCTCTTTAGACAAATAACCACTCATTCTGATTATTTTTTGAACCAGATCGGTTCCTAAATTAAACTCCAGCAAAGGATCTTATGCTGAGAAAGTTGGCTCTGTTTTTTCTAACAAATCGGGCCAACGAAATTGTTCATCTTCTTGGAACTGAACATCACATTTTTCTATTTTTTCTACTTTTTTCAAAAGCTGATCTAAATAATACTTATTAATAAGTAAACTACAATCTTGCAATTCTACTTCTTCCATAAGAAAATTATTATATAAAGTAGGTATGGCTTACTAAAGAGCCATATAGTACAACTGTTCTTTAAAAGAACATTGAATTATGGCCAATGAACTTAAAATCCTTCTTTGGGTAGTCATTAGCCATAAAAAACTGATACATTGGAGGTACGTAACCAGAATAGAAAACTGACTCTTCTACTTGTTCTGATACTCCAAAAGGATTGTCATTTGCCTCCATTTTAAAAACCTGATTGCCCTCCAAGAACATCAATTGCTGGTGCAGCGTTGATGGCACACATTTAGATGCATGAATCCAATCTCGTCCAAGCAGGATTGAATATGTGGTGTCTGCATCCACCACGAAGAAGACAGAAGAAATCTTCTTTGGACCGACTTCAATGGAGGCGACCAGCATGCCTTCTGGTCTGGTCGGCTGCCCTGTAAAGCTAGTCATCTTAAAATCCACAGGAGATAGATCATGAATCCTCTTTCCTAACTTCTTAAGAGTCTTCAATGGCATTACATTGAAGACGTCCCCATTATCTATGAAAACCTTTGTAATTGGTTTCCCACATACATGAGCATTGACGTACAGAGGCTTCAAATGAGACGCCATGCCTTCTGGAATAGGAGGGAAGACAATTGGAGGGACCTCTGATTGAGAGTTAGGGTCTGCAATCTTTGCCCATTCTGGCTCTTCTATAGACTCATCCACCAAACTTGCCCACAGAGGTTCTTCCTCAACCCAATTAATTTCTGTCATTCGGAAGGGGATACGTGGCCCTAGTCGAGATTTGACAGACCTTGAATCCTTCTCTGGAACTTCGTTACCAACTTCCAATTCGGGTTCAACAGTCAAATACTCCAAATGAAACTCCTCTATTGATGGATTAAAGTTGACCTTCTCACAATGTTGACATCTGAAACCTTTAAATCTTTCATCAGACAGGCCCTTACTTGTCTTCTGCATGGACCGACCTCCCTCATTGTACCGAACGCTGGTCGGCTGCTCTGAAGAGGCTCCCCCAATGAACCGACCTTTCTCAGCCTCATTCGGCTGCTCAAACGAAACGACCTTGAGGGACCGACCTTGCTCCGTATACTTGGAAGTGCCTCGCCTGTCGTTCGGTTGCTTTGATGAGGCGACCTTGTCTCTGTATCTCGCAGCATACCTACGTTTGGCATTCCGAATCAGAGTACGATTCATGCCTGGGAACCGAGGATCCACATCAATTGGTAGAGGTTTCTTATTTCGAGTCCATTTCCTTCCGACCGCACCCGTCTTCCTGGTCGGGTGGTCCTGAAGTACAACCTGGTCCTTTAATTCCACATTAAAAGAACCATCTTGGTTGTCCCATTTTTCAGCCACTGTTTTTTCACAAACCTTGAGTTTCTCGTCTGGTCGGACACTATTTGATGTGTTCCCTTTTTCCTTTTTGGAAGTTGCTTGTATATTAACCATCGCTGTGGTTACTTTTGGAAATGGTTACTGCTCCACTCGCAAAGTGATATACTTGAGCCGTCCTGCCTTAATAGCCTTTTGGATCTCATTTCGAAAATAGGTGCACTGACTTGTACAATGCGTGAAGGAATTGTGCCACTTACAATATGGCCTCCCTTTAATTTCTTCCTTGGTGGCCAACCTCTGTCCCTTTGGAATTCGGATCTGATCATCAGTCAACATGATATCAAATATCTCATCGGCCTTTGAACTGTCAAAAGTCGGTTGCCCTTTAGCTTCTGTTCCTGGTGCTGGCTTTAACTTAGAGCATACATAAGGTTTCCCTAAAATTATTTCGACCGCCATCTCTTCTGTTTGATCATAATCAAAGTCATATGTCTCTGTTTCCATACTAGCCATATGTTGACCTTTATTGTGCTTGAAATTCTGATCCCTTTCCCTGAACAGAGATTCTAAACGTCCAGCCTCGGAAGCGAGGCTTGCCAAATCCTAAACATCATGTGCAGTGAGTGCATCTCTTAAACGACCATGCATGTTTCGGACCACTAAGTTGTTCGTCTCTTTCTCACTGATTATAGTAGGACATCGTCCCTTCATTAATCTCACCCTCTCAATAAATTGTGATGCCGATTCCTTCGGATATTGTTTCATTTCGAAAAAATCAGTCAGAGAAACCGTTGGCAGGGGATTGAAAAATCTAGCATGAAACACCATTTCTAAACCTTCCCAGGTTTGTATTTGCCCAGGTGGCAGACTTACAAACCATGAAAAAGTTGTCCCAGTTAAAGACAATCCAAACAGTTGTAACTTGTAAAAAGGATTGTTACCAATTTCCCCTAACTGTGCTGTAAAACGCCCCACATGCTCTATAGTGGAGGACCCATCCTCTCCAGAAAAAGCATGAAAATCTGGTGGTCTGTAATTCCTTGGGAGAGGATATTCATTGATAATCCTTTCTGGAAACGGTCGCTGATAAGCAGGTCGGTTGGCCATCTAAGGATTTAGACCAAATTGAACCCTTAATACGTGAGCAATTTCATCACCCAAACGAAATTGTTGATAATCAGGAACATCAATGGGATTTTGCACAGGAATATGAATGGGATCCTGCACATGTCCCCCTGGCCTTTCCTCTCTTGTAATGTTCGGTTGCACATTTTCAACCCTTGGTCCCAAAGGAATATTATTTGGGAAAGTCTAAGGAGTCTTTCCCCTATCTATTCGGTTGAAATTTGTGGCGCTTGGCAGTGTGCTGTCCATATATGATGGCCCTGCAAAATTCGCTTGCATTCTTGATGGTGACACCCCTGGCGGCGTCTGGGTGGGTTGAAGAGTAACCCTTGACAATGCTTGATCTAACATGTTCTGCATAAGATTTTGTTGCTCGCGCAACATGATGTCCTGTTGCTCGCGCAACATGTTCTACATCGCTGAAGTATGCTGATTGTTCAATTGTTGAACATACGACAACCAATTGATAGGTGGTTGAGGGATCTCTCCTGGATTTAGCATGACTGGTGGTAAAACATTTTCCCTCACCGGTGCTGATGATGATTGAGGTTGTGTGCCTGCCATGTTGATCTTTCTGATGATTCGGCCCGACCTCAGTCGTATGAAATTCTCAGGTAATGTAGGATCAACAATCTTCTCTTTCTCCCACTGTGATCACCAATTTGTTGATGTATTTTTTCAACAAACAAAAAGTAAAATTCAAAGATACGTAAAATATTGGTCTAGCAACAGACCTCCCGACCTAAAGACCATCCGATTTATTGATCCAGTCGCAGACCTCCCACCTAAAGACCATCCGACTCACTGGTCCAGTCGCAGACCTCCCGACCTAAAGACTATCCGACTCACTGGTCCAGTCGCAGACTACCCGACCTGAGAACCTCCCGACCTGCGGACTTTCGGTCCTGACGACTTTCCGTCTTGAGGACTTCCAGACCTGAGGACTTTTCATCCTGAGGATTTTCCGACCTGAGGACCTCCCGACCTAAGGACCTCCTGACCTGAGGACTTTCCGTCCTGAAGACCTTCCGACCTGCATTTTCCTTAGAAATTAACCTATTTTCCTTGAATTCCCTACGGTGCCCTTCAGCCAGCTCAATCAACTCTATTGCCAGGCCTATTTGTTCTTTTACCATGGGCTTTTTAACCTAATTCTAAATTTTATACGTAACAATACTATATGTTTTTTGCACAAACGTTTTTATATTTAATTTATTATATATTTAACCATTATGACATAAAAAAATTTAAGGTAAATTATATAACATCTTATCCTATTTTAGTAAATATTTATAAAATATTTTATATTTTATTTATGGAAAAATTGGTTTAAAATCCCTGTTAGATAACTCTATTTATAATTCAGTCCCTATTTGAAATAAATTAGACTGCAATCCCTACTTTATGGATTAGGTATGTTATATCTCCCCAATTGTATTTTTCCCTAAATTAATGTTGTATACGCAACAGGTACTCGATATAGGTTGATCAATACTTCAAATGTTGTAATGAATACCTATATTATTTCCCGCTCTACCCCGTTATAATCTTATATACTTCTAGTTAAATATCGCGTATTTTTTTCGCGAATTAAAAAATATAAAACAGTTACCCACGATTTAATAGGGGTTGAGGCAGGAAACTACCATAACTCCCCTCACTTCGATTTTAAACCCTACCTCTTCCATTTTTAGGCAAAACGACGTTCTCCAACCCATAGTGAGCAAGTATTGATGATTGGTGCAAAAATAGTGAAGAAAATAACTGACTTGCTCGAAGAAGTAAGTGTCTAGTCATGTTTTTGGGTTGGCAAATGTGGTATTGTTAGGTACCCCAAGTTGTATCTTTTAGGTCTAGTATGCTAAAAGTATACTTTTAGGGGACTACTGTGTATTTGAAATATATTTTTACGTAGTCCTAATAGATTCTAATAAATGTTTAAATAAATTTGAGATTTAGGTAATATAGATTGATGATATTTATTTACAGACCGTAGGTCGGGTTCTGCTTGAATGCAATTCACTGCGTGATCCGTTCGAACAAGGGAACGCGAAAAATTAGTGCGTTTACAAAATAAATATAATAAATTGACCATGGATCCGAATTACGTAACAAAATATTGTGTTATGTTTGCAGTCGTATTTTTTATACTTATACAGTTGTACCTGATCGCAATACACCTATGGCCCATGGTGAGGAAAACGCCTGAATACATAAGATGTAAGCATCAAGGTGACACTCTCAACTGCAGTCTTTTAATCTGCATGTTCGCCGAAAGTTATGCTGCGGGAATCCAGTAATCTATCCCATTTGTGGTATTGGCAGCGAGTTTGATAATGTGAAAAGCTACCATAGTAAAATTGCGCCCAAAATACTGAATGGTCCATCCTCTGAACCGTAGATTATGATGAGTAGTGCAGGGTAAGTTAACATCTGTAATGAATTTAGGATTGATTTTGGTTATGTTATTTGTGTTTGGTTTGGGTAATATGTTATTTTCGAATTGAGTCGTTGGTTCAATTGGTCTCCAATTGATGGGATTGTATTAAGATTGATTAATGGATTGAATTATGGGTTGAATTTTGTGAAGCTTAATCTTTGGAGTAATGTTATCAATTGTGTTGTAAATCGTAATGCACATGATGTACCTCCACAAGAGATCGATGTATCCATCTAACAAGATCAAAATACCTTCAAAATACGTATATGCTTATGTACATGTTACCCATTAGTTAGGAAGGTTATCCTTGTACAAAGACAACAACAAGCCAAAAAAATTATGCATACTTCTCTTAAATTGGAATTAAATAATTCATTACAAGACCTTGCAATAGATGAAGTAATGCTTGGAATGTACAAAAATGCATTTACGGATACTTGAGTACATTAGTGGTTCACCTAAGAAAGAAAAATATATACATGTACTGCAAAGGTTTATTGCATCTCAATTGTTGTCATTCCTCTCAACCATCAATGAAGTGAAGAAGTGCTAATAGAAGAAGTATTTTCACCCAATTCCTTAATTGCCTCATCCGTCAAGGGATTGAGTGAAGTCGACCACATTCAAAGATACATGCTACTACATAAATAATACCTAAGTACCCATCAATAATACATTGATTGTTAATGCTCGTACCCAGAACTTATTGTTACATACTGCATTAAATATCAAAATACCCCGGGGTAGTTTTTATGTATCTATAATACGATCTCATATGCTCCGATAATGAGTATCTATGCCCTGATAACTTGTTCTTGGAAATGGATCATTCTGCATTCAAAATATTCAATTGTTGTCGGTAATCATGGATGAATTCATCATTATAGTGTTCTCGCAAATCCTAGAACTATATGAAAGATAAACAAGACATATTTATTATGGATTGATAAACAATATAGAAAATACTTAGTTGGGATGACGTTGAAAATATAAGAATAAATACAAGTTCTAGGATGCAATCTATTATCCACCAATATACCCATAGTTCCATTATAGTCCAAACAAGTCTCATTCTTATATAATTGTGTCATTGAAAGTAAATTTAATCTTATAAAAATACTATTGATACGATCAATAATTTTAATAAAATAGTTATGGAAAACAATATATACTCACATGTTAATGGTAACCGGGGATGAATTAAACAAGATATAAATTTTTACCAATTTCTGGAGGGTATTAACATGCGAGTAGTACATGTTTACAAGAATCCAATGGGGAAACACTATCATTCATCATTGCTCTCATGGATTGATTGTAATTTAAACATATTACATAGTAATTTATACTGTAGCACACACAACAATATTCGGTCCACCAAGGTTAACAGAGGAAGTGCTCTTACCGAGTTCATGAATCAGTTCATCTGCGTGAGATTGACTGAAATCAACTAAATTCGAGGATACCATTATTTATACCTTGTTGGTTGGTGTTTGTACCCAACTCACATACTTACATACCTGCATACAAACTATACATACTTTGGAACATATCTTATGTACCTATAATAATAGTCTTATATGCTTCAATAACGAATATATATGCCCTAGTAACATGTGGTTGGGGAATCGGTCGTTTTTAGTTTGAAATATTCATTTGATGTTGGACTAGAGATGAATTCATCATGGTAGTGTTCCCACAACACTCCTAATTGTATAAAAAGGTAAACAATACATATTTACTATGGATGGTTAAACAAATCAAAAATGACTTAGTTAAGCTGTATGATATATGTACAATCGTAGTACAACCTCCACTTGTAGATGTCTAAACAAGTCATAAGTGACTAAGTTAAATATATTGGTTGTTAGAGTATATGATTGCTATATGATTGTGGCCTCAAACCTAGCTTGGTCAAGGAAATCATACTAGTTGTGTACCTACTGCTATTTCATTTAAAGAATTCTCCATTGTTGTAGGAACTCAACTAAATTCGAATATACCTATTACTTTACAAATAATACTTTGTAATGTATATATATACTCATAAACTCAGTGTTAATACCTGAGTACTTTATTCACGTAATTACATATATTATCTTTATGTCTTATTTCATTTTTCACATGCCCATATACACATCTTATATACTCCTGATACACATACTCATGCCCGTACTTCCCGTTCATGTACCATGGTGCAATGAATTTATAAAAAATTTTCAATACAATTTTGCATATTGTTGTTGTATATTTCCATGACACACTTTGAAAGTGACGAGGACATGGCCGGATTCCTTCCTAGGCATAAGATCTTTGATCTCAATTCCTTCCATTGCCCTTGTCGATCTATATCCTTCAATTGTCTTCGAACAGAACAAAACAAATTCACAATTTGTCTTGTCCTAAATTACACTACAAAAAAAAAGTAGAATTTCTTTAAAAATGGATATATATATATATATATATCAAACCAAATAAAAAGCAAACAAATATCAACAAAGAATCTGGATGAAACTTCACTAATTACACATATATACATACA